GCAGCCTAAATGATTCTATATTTTGTAAGAATATAGATAGAAGTAGCAATTTCTTTGAGAATCTGACTTTGCATAGCAGTTGCCTATTTTGGTGAATAAGATGAACGGTTAACATAGATCAAAATGAGTTTTGCAAGTCCTTAATATCTTTTCAACAAGGAAACAATTTTTGTTGTTGTGTAAGTATTTACTGTTGCGCATTCCACTTTTCAAGGCTTCCGCAGTTCCTGACTTTCCTAAAAGGAAAAGTCTTTACTACCCAAAGTCTTTACTATGTCAGTTCTCTTAAGTCATTGATCTGATGAGCTTTTTCCATCTTAAGAGAGTCTGTCTTACAGTTTAAAAATTGTTAAATTGGTTGCGAAATGAAATGCTTCATATTTACTCGTGGCTTCAGTCTATTAAAAAAAAGCCAGCACATGACAATGTAATGCAGTAGAACAGATAAACAGTTATTTGAAGCTGCAGGTCTCTGTTTGATCTCTTAGTTGGTATGTTCCAGACAATAAGTAAAGCTAACAGCATTTCAGGGAAATGGGAACTGGGCAGATGATAAAACGGCTGTACATTGGTCTTGTCAATTTTTCTCGCCTCCCTTCAGGTAAGAACCAGAACGGTTGCTGAGTGTGTGGCTTTCTATTACATGTGGAAAAAGTCGGAACGTTACGATTACTTTGCTCAGCAAACAAGATTTGGAAAGAAGAGATATAACCATCATCCGGGAGTTACGTAAGTAACGTGTTTTTGGAATATGTAGCTGTTGCAAATCTTGAATGTAGAAGATTTTTTCCCCTCCCATCGTTGTAGTGTGATGCTGCAGTAGCTATGATAACTGAAATGAAATCCTCATTCTAGGCCTTGACTTCATGTTAAATAACCCATGGTGAATGTATTATTGTTCTAGAGATTACATGGATCGTTTGGTAGATGAAGCAGAAGCCCTGGGTGGAGCAGTGCATTCTTCAGCCCTAACATCTAATAGTCGAACAGAAACCATTCCTGATCAGCAGCTAAGCATTCTGAACTCCATCACTGCCAACGAGCTGACAGGTAAACCAAGGACAAAAAAACCAAAATCTTTTATCTTGTGATTTCATAAGGTACTATTTCATTTACATCGGTTTCATTTTTTTCCCCAGCATTGACAAATAGTGTAGCAACAGTCTGCCACACTTCAGATGTGAACTGCCTGGATGATGCTTTTCCTTCTATGGACAGCTTACCTCGAGCACCAGTTAATCACGTGCCTGTTGGAACAGAAGAACTGCTTAACTTGCCAAGCAATGGTGAAAGCGATTGTTTTAATTTATTTGAGACTGGCTTTTATCATTCAGAGCTAAACCCAATGAACATGTGCAGTGAAGAGACAGAAAGACCTGCGAAGAGATTGAAAATGGGACTTGCTGTCCCAGATTCTTTCATGAATGATGTCTCTGTAAATAACCTTGGTGTGGACTTTGAAAACCACACACATCATATTACCAGTGCCAAAATGGCTGTTTCAGTGGCTGACTTCAGCAGTCTATCTTCAAACGAGACAAATGGTTTTATCAACACCCACACTCTTCACCAACACACTGCCCTTCATTCAGAGTGACTGTGAAACAAACAGTGGGTACATTATGCAGTAGTAGTAAACTTGATGGGAGCTATCAGGTTTGCTTAGTCTTTCACTGGAAGTTTGAACTTTATGACATCAGTGATGTCTTTGTATGTATAGAACTATATCTTGATTTATCAAGAGTAATTTCTTTTTTCAGTCCATAAATGTGGAAATGTTGTATGATATTTGGCAGAGTTTGGGACTAAGAGAACTCTGTGGTGCAGCTTTAAGCTCTGCTTCAATTTTATTTTATTATTATTTTTTTTAAGCCTGTAGACAGAGGCCACCAATTCAAAACCAGCACAGAAGTTCTGAACTGATTGGAGTGGCTTTTTAGCCTAAGTTACTTTTGCTGTAACAAATACAGTGGAATAACAATGTTTACAGGTACCTATCCTGATCCCTGTGCAATGTAGCATTTTTTTTTCTTATAAAGGCAGGGATAGGCTTCTTTAATTTAAACTGCACAAACACACAAGGATGTTTTTTAAATGGAACCTTCTCTCATGTGATACTAAACTAGAGCACTTCAGTTTACAAAGCAGCAAGTTCATCTTGGTGGAAGCTAGCACAAGGAACTTACCATTAGTAAAGTATGAAGACCTACACTTGGATGCTGTTGCAAAATTACAGGCCATGGCTACCATACACAAGTAATTATACTGCCAGGAGTGTCTGTGTACTTTAAACTTACTGGCTTAAACAGAGAATGTGTTTTAGGCTGTTGTTTTCTGGTGTGTTTTGTCCACAACTTTGAAGAATAGTGTAATTGTATAACTTTCCTGAGGCAGCTGATGTTGCATAATGCTACAGTCTGCACAGCTTAGGATTTACCACTGAGCAGTCTGTTTTGGAAGACAAACTATTTGGAGCACTGCAGTTCAAAGTGTTAGAGGAACTGTCTAGTTTGTGTAGAAGTATTAGAACCTTGAAGTGTATATTTAAAAGCCTTTCTTTAGTGTGGATTTCATTTGTTTGTTTTGGCAAGGTCATGGGCTGAAAAAAGGCACTTTTCTACTCTGGTTAAATAGGAAAGGATGAGGAAAAAGCAGCTGTTTTACTTCAGTAATTTTTTGTTTTCATCATGGAGTGTGATTCACCATCCAGAAAGTTTACCTTGCAGCAGCTTGTTCTAATTCTTGAGGTGGAGTTGAACCAAACCAAGTAAGATATTTGTAGCATAAAAAACATGCAGTTTTAATGAAGCTCAGAACCTTATTTCAGTAAGATGGCCGCTTTTCCTCATGTTACAAATTTAATTGCCACTAACTTGTTTTCATTATTCAAGTGGTTAAGTTTGCCTTGTTGATATTTGTAATAGTTGCTTCAAGGTCACGCTGAGTAACTAGAAAATAGTGACTTTAATATTTGAAAGGGAAGAGGGTATTTATTATGCATACTGTGAACTGCATTGACATCCGGAATTTTGGATGCAGAGCATGGAGTTCTCTTTACAGCATTGTAATGAAGATTGCTTTGAAGTGTTTACACAATAGCACATTTACCATATTAAAAACAAATTAGTTTAGCACAGTGGACAAAAGTATAGAAAATGTTGTAATCCGTTTTTAACTGACACATCTGAAGTATGTAATTCTGGTGAGTACACAGTAACTAATAGGTAGCCCAGGCCCTGTGTTGTACTCTGACATTTTTTAGCCAAGTTGTCAGCTTCTTGTTGCTGTGTTTTGTGCTGAACCTTGTACCTTGTTTCCTTCTGTTGATGAATCAACACATTTTATGTAATTTTGGAAAATACTGCCCATAATCCTTTGTTGTTATACATTCAAGTTTCATGTATGGGTTTACAGTGAGTGGCTGGTGTGTATAAAAATCATTATAGAGAGATGACTGAATGCTTATACCAGTTGCACTTAAATGAACATGCCCATTCTCATTAGCTGATGCAGTAATATATTCAGTTTATCTATGCATTGCTGGGATCTTAATGTAGACAGAGACTTGTCTAAGGTATGGATTGTCAGCAAGTTGAATGGACACTTTAGTTATTTAAATAAAGACTTTTGACCAAAATTCAGAAAATGGTATGAGAGAAAAATGAATTCCAGCTAGTCTGATAGGTTTTTAAATGCTGATCTTTTTTAGCCTGTTGGCTAGCTAGCTGGTATCGTTTACTTTTAATTCCTTGTTAAAATGAGGCAATAATTTGCAAGAGTTTGTAAATATGTAAATTCTTCATATCTTTTTAGATATCTATTTCAATATTTTCGACTACTTCTGTGTATAGGAACATTTTTGTGCATGCTTGATGTGACATTCATAAATTTGTACCACTATGACTTTATCCATGTAAAATAGCTATTTATTGAAATTTTCTTTTAAAAGCTGGACTTACTTATTTTTCTCTCAGTTTAAACATTTAAATGGAGAACTTGTTACTGTTTATTAAAAGAATTGTGTTTTGGAAGTCAGCACAAAGATAACTGAATTGCAAGCATAGGAAGAAATTGTGTTGCCTTGTTTCTTGGATGGTGGAGCACAATTCTTATAACAAACTGTGATAAATTCCTTGTCCTTTGCCACACTCTGTCTTCGAACAAACAAACCAAAAATCCATAATGGCCAATTGCAGTGTTGGTAAATGTATCCTTTTCACACACAGGGAGCCTGACGAGGATAGCTGATTCATTTAGAAGTGTAACTGGTGCTATGATTATAGCAATACCTTTACTTTTGTTACTCATGCATCGTCTTCTCATGATAGATTTTTAAACGTTTAGTTTTTCTCTTGTCACAGTCAAACTGCTGAATTACTTGAAGGATGTACAATACTGTCTGAAGAATACTAAATTGTGTACAATTAGGTCAATGAATTGTGCAATTGTTTTGTTTTAATTTTTAAAGCCAAGGGTCAAAAGTGTATGAGAAATTCAGATTCAGTAGAACATAACGATACTACGTAATTTAACCAAAGTCTCTAGAGAATACTTTAGCTTTGAATGTAAAGTAATGGATCAACTGACCAACAGGGTCACTGCTTGCCCAGCATCACAAGCACATTGCCTACAGATGGGGAAACTAAATACAGTATAATTTATAAAATGATTACCAGGTTACTATTTTTTTTCTTTCATTCCTATTCTTCACTGGAAAAAGGAAAATGCTATCAGTTGTAAAATAGAGTCTGGTCATAGTCCTCTATGATAAAGCAGAGATCCCAGTTATTCTCAAAGTGAGTACCCTGTGCATAACAGTAAACTTAGTGACAATCGGAACATGCTGTAGTATCAGTCAGATGTTCAAGAAGAAGTCGCTATCGTTGCATTGGTTTTAATATTTGTACATAAACACTGATTTTTTTGAGCATTATTTTGTATTTGTTGTATTTTAATACCTGGTGTACAGTTCCAGAAATAAATGTCTGGAAACCTTTCTTTACTTGTAAAGCTTTTCATGCATCTGTCCTTAAAGTGAGTTTCTGATCTTAGGCAGCTGCTCACTCTGGCAGGCACGTTTCCCTCTTCTGTAGGCCTGTTTCTCCAGAGCACCTGCAGCTCTCCTGCTGGGTTTGTCAGCTCAGCTCCTCTGATTTTCCAAGCATTTGAACTTTTCTGCCATCCCAAATCAACAGGGAATTCAGGGAGCAACTTAAGCTCTTGGAGAATTACCACTGCAGCTGTTACAAGCTTCACCTTTGCAGTTAAGAAGTCAAAAGTCAGAGCTGAGCTGGCTGACCTTCCTCCAAAGGTCCTGCTGAGACTGGCTGCGTGCCTCTTGCTGGTAATGCCCTGTTAGGAATTCCAATGAGATTAAAATAATCTTTCAAGAGATACAGCTCACTCCAATAACAGGGTATTGGCTGGTAAGTGGCCACTCGGAAAGCGCTGGTGCTGTACCTGAGATGGAACAATGCTGGACACAGGCACTGATGGGAGGCTGAGCTGGGGAGCAGCACAGCAGAAAAGTATCTGCAGGAGCTGTTGCCAGTAGCTCAGCATGAGCCTGCAGTGTGCCCTGGCAGCCAAGGAGTAAACTGCATCTTGTGGTGCACAGCCAGATGGGCAGGAAATCTCTGAAGACCCCTTCCAACTTAACTATTCAATTCTATTCTACAACCACCAGCAGGCAGATAACGATAGCTGATGCCAGTTTCAGGCCAGATTATGCTTTCTCATGCGTATGATCCATCCTTAAAGCAGGCTGCCAGGTGTCAGTATTTGAGCAAGGAGAAACCAGTGCCACACATCCTCTTAGGTGCCGTGCAGTCTGCACTTCATCTCTGCAATCCTCCACTGCTTTGTTCACATCCAGAGGGCAGCCACTTCAAGAAAGCACTCTAAACAAAATAGTTGTAAAACTAAGTTCCACAGTCATCACATAGGAGCATACCTTTAGATAATTTTAAAATTATTAACAGGTGTGGATTGAGAGAGCTGAACTAACCTGCGCCCTTGAGCAACAGCATCTCAGCCCGGAGAAACATGAAGAGTGCTGCATTTCTAGTATACACAGAGCACTGCTCCCCACGTAACCATGAACCTGCTCAGCTCTGCAGCACTGCAGAGCTCTACAGACTGAGATGAGGAAGGGGCCCTGTTCAGCAGAGAAGGGGTCTTCAGAGCGATGAGCAATGAGCTGCAGACTGGAGTTCACCGATAGCTCTGACTTGCTACCACACCACAAAGTCACAGTAAGAGCCACCACTGTATCTCAAAGTAGTCACAGCTGAAGGGAGAGGCTCTTCATGACAGCACCACAACTATATATTAACAGTTCTGAAAGGTTTTATAAAAGGAAACTGCCTACACTGAAACACTTTGTGAAAGGAGACATGCACCAAAGGGAGTGAAATCAACTCCATGAAAACCAGAACAAGAAACTACTGAGAATTATTTGGGGAACGCTTGTTGAGAAGAATAATTTTCAGAAATTGTGCCCATTGTAAGCATGGGAAACAAAACAGAAAAATATCAAAACTGCGTCATGGTGAGCACTGCAGTGGTCTATCTTCTTCCTGCTAGGTGACATGATGCTGTATTTGGATGACCATGAGAACACCAGTGGTAACACTGATGTTTCAACTGTTGCAGAGTGGTGCTAAGACAGAGCCAAGCACTCCTCAGCCTCAGCAACGAGCTGGGAAGAGACAGAACCCACACAGCTGACCCAAACTGGCCCAATACCCTGCGATATCCCACTGAACAATAGCTCCAGAGGACTTGGCTGGGAGGCAACTGCTGGTTGGCCAGTGATTGGGCATCCATCAGCAGGTGGTGAGTAACTGACTGTGCATTACTCATTTTGTATATCATTTTCTATTTTTTTTTTTTTTCCCATTCTTGTTCTGTCTTACTGTATAGTCTTTATTTCAACCCACAGATTTTAGCTTTTTCCCCCATTCTTTCCCTGATCCTGTTATGTAGCCTGCAGCAAGGAACCACAACACCGTTAGAGACAACTGTGTAAAACACAAGATTAAATGCCATTAACTTAACATTTTCACTTGCTGAAGCTATTGTACAGACAGTTGAAAGCAATAAACATACAAGTTAGCTGCAAATCCAACAAGTTGAGCCTCCACCACGGCATCAGTGTGGAGAAACTCAGGGAAACATAGGCCTGCAGCCTGATTTCTAAATGCTGAAATTACAGCTCATTGTGCAAAAATGCTTACAAACTTGAGGTACACAAATGGTATTTTACTGACTATTTAAAATTTATTACTTCAATTGACAATAGTGTAGTAATTAGAAAAAAGTTCTTCTCCTTGCTTGATGTCTCTGAGAGTGACAAGCACTACGCACCTCAGGTGACTGAAAAGCAAAACATGGAAATACACAATTAGATACCAAGGAGGGTATGAAAACAACTCTGAAATATAGGCAAACAGATTCAAAACCAACGCCAAGAAAAAGTGCAGTCAGTGTGGGTATGCAAGTAAAATTTCTATTTGCACAATTACTCAGAAAAAAAATGAATTAATCAAGATAGAGGAAAACCTTATGCACCAAAGTTAACGTAGCAGAAAACACTCTATTAGATGTGCACACTCACACGTACCAGTCAGCTAAAGCCACTCTCACTGACACAAAACCCAGAAAGACAGCTCTGAACTACAACAAATAACCTGCTGGGATGCACAGCAATGAGTGAACTTTCCAAAAACCCCAAGATGAAATCAACGGCTGCTGAACAGTCTTCTCATAGAACAAGTTAGAAATCTGTCTGTAATTTCCTGCAAGACTCATTAAGAAAATGATCATGTCCTGGAGCTGAAAAATCTGTTCTAGGAAAGAGGGTACATTCTTCTGAGGAACATTAAAGCAAAGAACAGCATCATTCCAAATAATCTCCACTGTTAAAAAAGTGAGACCATTCTGAAACAAATTAACCAACATCGAAGATAAACAAGTGCTAAGAACTCTTCTACAATAGGGAATGGTTTAGAAATTAGATTAGCAATGTCATTAGAACTGTATTTATCAGCATCAGATGGAAGAACGCACAGAGGAGAGGATGGGATCACTTCCCTAGTAGCTGGGCACCAGCAGAACTGATAAGACAATATTTTCTTGGACTGATCACAAAGAGTACAGCAAATTTCCCCACCATGAAGCAGCCCAATAGCTTAATTTTCCTCACTGTGCTTTCACACTTTAAGTACAAAACCCATGGTTTCTTAAAGTTCGTATCACCTCTTCTTTTACTGGCATTTCTTTATTTATCTGCAGTTTACAAGTGCACATTTAGCCTTGGCTCAATAAAGTCTATGATCAGTCAGAAGAACCATTTTTCCAATATGCACCATAACTCTCAACAACCAAATTTCAGAGTTTTAAAATAGAAACAGAATTAGATTAAAAGGCTGAAATGCCTACGAAGTCCTTACACAATCTTTAGATAAAGAGAACTGTGGTTCCCATAGGAGCAACTGGACCAAAAAGGGCAAATTCTTTAGTGTTCAAATTCAGAACCAACATTACGACTCAATTCTTCACAGCTTGAAAGGTATTCTTGACTATGTCATTGTATAGGACACTCCCTTCCACAGAGCTCCATATCTAATTGTCACTTTTTCCTCACAGCTCCAACCAAAAATCTGTCAAAGCTTTCAAAATATTTTAAGTTCCAAAAGCGATGGGATTTCAGTTTATACCAAGAATGCCTTAATTGCATAATATAACCAGAAGGCATATGCCTTTATGCTGCACAGCATTTAATTTGTCTCACTACAAATTCCTTTCAGATTCCTCAGCTGTTCCATAAGCAGAAGACCTGGAGAACAGGAGTGAGAAGCTCAAGTCTCAGCAGCCTTAGAAGAGCTTTGACTGGTTGCAAGTTACTAACTAAACTTGAAACACATACTGAAAAGCCTCATTTCTGTTACATAAATGAAATATAAGTAGAGCTTAATGGGATTCTGGAAAATCCCACTGTAGTGGTAAGATCACTGCTTGTAAAATAGTGCAGTCAGAGCTATATTGGTCTCTTCTGCAAACACAGAAAAAAAAGAACAGAAGGAACAGCCTTGTAAGTTACTTTGAATGCATCTATTCAAAGAGCTAAATCTTCCTTACCATCTTCTCATGGTCTAATATTCCCTTCAAACACGTTTTCCTTTTTCACACATGCAGTATGCTTTCTATCACACAAATCTACGAGCTCTTTGACTCACTGCTAACCTCTCTATCTCGTGGCTGTAGAGGATGTTTGGAAGGTACTGTTTCAGTTCTATAGGAAAATGTCTTGGCACATCAAACTCCTGATAACATACATTGGCTGCTTTTTCTAGAAAAAAAAGAAAAAATTGATTTTATAATGCTCAGTAAGTCTTAGATAGGAGTAAGAGATAAGTAAATACTGCAAAGATACCAGATGCTTCACATCATCTGAAAAGCACGCCCCTCACAAGAGCTACTACACTCATCTGGAGTCCTGCTCTGAATTTGCACAAAAGATACACAACCAGCTATTGAAGGTTGCCTTATTCTCACCACAATAAACAGGATGACTGACTTAAGGATAGAGGTGAGGGGGTAAAGCACACACAGCACCAGGGACAGTTTACAGTGTTGATGATATCTATGACAATATTTACTGATAATGTTAAAAAAAAAAAAAAAAAAGTATCTAGGAGATGACGATTATTTTGACAAATTATGTTGCAAAGACAGTCATGGAGAAAATCACTACCTGTGCAGAAGCAAAAAGGGAATTTTCCTTACACGAACACGGGGCACAGAAAAAACGGGTAAATGTGAGAGCTTTGCCTTCATGCCAGTTAGTCTGTGGTTCATAGCCCAGAAACTCTTCTCTCTGTTGCATGGGCAGCAGTTATAATGCAAGCTTTGAAAGCCTCTTACAGACTAGGGATAGCAGCCATTAAACTTTCTGTACCCCTTGATCATCTGCATGAGTCACTTGTTTCAAACCCCCAAATATGTAAGGGCCAACACATACTGCAAGGCAGAAAAAACAACATAAAAGCTCTCTTCACGTCCCACTGCTGTAACACTTATTATTAGAACTTGTACACTCCTTTCTTATGCTGTTCTTCTTAAACAGCATAAGTTTGCCAAACTGTACAGTTTGCCAAACTGTACAGTGACAAAAGATGTCACTTCATGTGTGGTTTTCTCAGTCAGTCTCATGGAACGGTACTGAGGAACTCCATCTGTAACTCTGTGTACTGCCTCAGTCCAGAACTTTTTTGCCAGATATCCTTTCTCACTGAGTTGCATTTTTCACTCTGCTTATCCTTACGGAGACATCAGGGGAGTCAGCAAGAAAAGCTCACGGATGTTTGAAGGGTTATTGCACTGAGGGATTCTGATGCCCAGATCTCACAAAAGACCTCCTAAACAATTTCCTGAGTCTTAAGCAGCATTTCTGCACCCCATCACCCATCAGTATCTGATTCTGTGCACCAACTGCAAAATAGTCTATTCCCACGCAAACAAAGCCAACCCTTGCAGTGACTTACCATAGGAGCAGTTGTTCACATACTGTCCCACCGCCAGTGGGTTTTGTGGAGCAGCTGTGAGCCAGCTTACGTCGCTCATCTGAAAGGGGCCAAGCTGATCCCTCCAGCTGCAAGACCTGAAAGGACCCACAGCGTTAACATGTTTCACCACTCCTTCCTTACCACAGAATGTGTGCTTCCACCTGTAGAAACAGCCATCTGGAAGCAAGGGAGAGCAATGCCTTGGTCACACCTTTAAGGTACATTTAAACCTCCCACCAGCACACAGCAACTCTCAGATGCCAGCAGAAAAAGTGTGAAAACACCATACCAGAAATGTACATCACGCTTCATCATCACAGGAACAGCAATACATATTGCTGATCTCCGAAGTTGTGAAGGCTCATTACAGCATCAACAACAAATTTGTTCTTGGTTTTCAAAGCCGATATCAGCTAGCCCTTATTTTAGGTCTTTTTTTTGCTTGTGACTAAGTTTATCTGCATGCTGTATTAGAACACAAAAACTGCTCCACAAGAATTCTGCAAGTTGCATTTAAGATAAGATAGAGCAGTCCAGTCAGCTTCATGCTTACTCCAAAGGCTGCTGCTCCCTCAACGTGCTGTCCATCTGCAGCCCCAACATGGAGTTGCCAGATTCAGCCTTCTGTTGTTACCAAGTCCATACAGAAGCTGTTTTTCTCCATCCACTAAGCAGATTTTATTGAAGAGAATTTTTAAAAAAAATTATGCTATGTTCTGTTTCTATTAACTCTTTTCATTATAAGAAACTGCCTCTTTAAGACCCCTTTCATCAAAATGCTTCTTGTTGGTATTACAGATGGGACCCAGGTACGTAACATCACAAGCAGCAGCCCTTACCCTTGTGCTGTTTGTTTCAAGAGATACACAGAACTGGATAACATTTCAAATAAAACTCAAACTAGGGTACGCCAAGAGAATGGACACTATCTGCACTACCTTTCAAAATTCCATTTTGAATACCTTTCCCCTATTTGAGTGCTTACCTGTACACTGATCTTGACAGTCCTTTATCATTCCCATCAATAAGAATACCATCTATACACCTAAAAATAAATGGATTGCCAAGCGACTGGAAAAAGATGGGCTCATGCTTTCTGTACACTGTACCTGTTGCAAGACAGATATGATTATTTCAGAAGAAAATAAGAACAGATCCAAACGTCTTCCGGCCTCCTCTGTACAGAAACTCAAGAGACACTTCAAGAGGAGCGTGAGATCAATTCTCCCAGCTGAGACTCTAAGACATTGCCTTAAAGCCTCCAAGCATTTAGATACATCTTTCTGCAGTAAGAAAGACCTGCGTCAGAGGAGATAATCCAAAGGGAAGGCGTTGTGGGAAAGCATGAAGGAGGACTGTGCACAGTATTTGTGAGTGGCAGATAAAGCACCACAGCCAAGCGACCTGCTTCAGAAGGTAATGACAGAATTACAGATCATTTTCAGACATGTAAGCAAATAAAGTTCCAAGGAATGAGCAGCAGGAGCGGAAGAGTGCATGTTTGTAATGATGCTTATGGCAGAGCTCCAGTAAACGAGAGCTTCAGTTTCACTCTCCAGGAGGTACGTGTCTGCTCATCTGTCAGGACACCTCTGAGCCGTCTTTTTCAGACATGCATACAAAATAGAAACCCCAAGGAATTAACCTACGCTGCTCAAGCTGTTCCCACCCATTTGTGTTTAAAGAATCTAGAACAACTTATCCAGCAACGTTACGACCTGGAACAACGAAAGGCCGTTTGATTTTCCTACAAATAAAATTCCCTCCCACCCCTGACACACTTTGCTTTCTTCAAAAACCTACACGGAAATACCCTCACCCATCCCAACCTGCGCTGTTGTTACAGAAGCAAAACCTGTGAAATAAAAGTCAGTACAGAACTTCGGCATTCTGGTGAGATGGCTGGAAATGACGTGAACTCAATCAACCAGAAAGCCTCATTACCGGGATACATGGCCACAACCGCCCCTTTCGGCACAAAGCCCTTGCTAACGAAGACTCCGGTCCCGGCAGAAAGCAGGGAGCTGCGGTCCCGAGTGACGCTGAACCCCAGCGTCCGAAACAGGACCTCCTCCGGGCCGAGCAGCGCCTGCCGGCTCTGGCGGCTCCGCGAACTCCCAGCGTCCGGCTGCAGCTCATCGGACCGTAACTGCGCGTACCTCCGCCTAACGGCGGGCAGCAGGGGCAGCGCCGGCACCTGCCTGCCGAAGTCGTTCACAAACAGCGCTGTAAATACTTTCAGCAGCGTTTCTAAGACGTCTTCGTCGGGGATTATTTTGTCCTGGGAGCTTTCAGGAACGTACCGAAGCGTCCTGTAAAGAAACAAAGAAAACGAAAACCTTATGAGACTGCGCTTTTCTTAAATAGGATGCAGAACGGCTGTCCGCACAGCTGCTGTAAACAGACCGGCGGCCCCGGGCAGCACCGCCTCGGCCGCACCCCGCCCCTCCTCACCTGCGCTGGCGGCGGACATTGAAGGCCAGCCAGGGCACGAAGCGGTACTTGTAGGCGTTCCAACGCCGCCGCAGGCCGCGCAGCACCACCATGCCGGTCCCCACGCCTCCCACATCCGCGCTCTGCCGGCGGAGCCCTGCAGCGCGGCGTTATTTGCACGCGGAGCTGCTACCGGCGGTGGCGCGGGACGGTCAGCGCGCTGAGCGCGGCCTGGCGCGGGGCGGGACGTGCGCGTGCCGGAAGATCTCGGCGCGGTGCGCGAAGGGAGGGCGGGGAGACGGAGCGTACGTCCGAGTGCACCGCTAGCGTAAGGGGTGGAACGGCCTGTCCTCAGGGGAAACGCGAGTCACGAGAAAACTGCGCCGTGCTCTTTCCTGCCTCGTAAAGCACGAAGGCCTTCCTCTGGAACCGATCTCCGCGCCCGGGTTGCGAACGGTGGCTCCTGCGGGGCTCTGCCGCTCCGGGGCTGCGCTGCCTCCGCCTCCTCTTGCAGCGGCACGCGGGCTCGGCCTCCCTTCTCTCGCTGGGGGTCTGCTGCCCCGAGACCTGTCTTCGGATGCTGCTTCCCCCCTGCAGCTGTAGCTGTGGGCTGCTGCCGTCCAGAGAACGCTGACGAGGAGCTGGCGTTGGGAATTGCTTTTGGGCACTGCAGAGAGAAGAAAGGCTGCCGGGACACGCAGCCCCCACGCCCGAGGTCAGGGTGCTGCCAGGCCCAGCAAGAGACAGGCAGAACCCGCTTCCCATGGCAGAAGCTTGCATGCATAAATACGTCACCTCTTGCTTTACTCCGCATGGCCTTCAGTTCTGTTTCTGGCGCTGCAATTCTCTTCGAGCGCAGAAACCGCGCGAGGGCGTTACGCGGACTGAAACGAGGCGGCCAAGCGCCGCGAGAGCCGCCCTCGTTGTCTGTGCCGAGCGCTTCTCTGCCATCTTCTGGGCTTCCTCGGCAACGACGCTGGAAACGCCTCTCGCCCCCTGAAATTCAAAGCCGTGTGCCTTAATGGGAGAATAATACACGGACACAGTATGCTGCGGCTCCTAAAAAAGGAAGATTGTCGATTCGCTCAGCAAGGAATGCTGCCCGCTGAGCAGGCCGTAAGGGGAGGCGTGTGTGCTGAACAGCCCTGCCTACCTGCAGCCGTCTGTAAAATAGCAATTCTAGCATCATTCTCAGCAAATAAACCACAACGAGCATAACCTACTATTTGCTGCTGGAAGAGCTGAATACAGCTTTTGCAAACGAAGACGTTTCCTGGCAGTAAATGCTGCTTCAGCTCCCTGCTGAAGTTGTTGAAAAGGAATGCAACACTCAAAACTTACCTGTTACTCCACTTTTGTCATATATTTTCTTTCTTGACACATCATTTAATGCATTTTCCAGCTTTCAAAAACCATAATTTAACAGAAGACGACTGCCAGGTTTTTCTGGAAACAAGTGATGAGGAACAGAGAGACTGATCAAATTAAACATATCTGGGGGGAAAAAAAAGGCAGCTGAAACAAGCCTTAGCATTGTAATGCATTGTCATACATACATATCAGCCCATACTCGTTCATATGCTTAATTTAATATTAGGCACTGTACAGGAGATGTGTGTATAAACAGATGGACCAGAAACACTTTATTCATATTGGTAAACTCAAATTAGTTAAATTAGAAACAACGAAAGACAAAATTTGTTCAAAAACTTTTATTTACTATAAAGACAAGAACACCAAAATAGGTACAAATTATACTATATAAAATTGGTTCAATGGGGTAAAAACTTTTAATTAAAATATCTTGATATATTTAAAATAACAAAGGATACAATGAAGCCAAATTTCTTAACCCAGAGATTTCTGTAAAATTTGCTTGCACAGTAAGGTGCTAATAGAAGTTAGCCCTTAAGCCCTGGAAATCTTAGGAATCAGACACATAGCAAATATAATTTCATTGTGAAAGTGAACTTTGGTAGAAGAAAATCTATAGGACACCTGAGGTAGTAGAAAATGGAATAAACAGCAGTAGACGTTATTTACAACTTAAGTACCAAATAACATTAAGAACACAAAAAATAATTACACAATACAATTTTCAGTCCAGCTTTGATCCAAAGAAAATAAGAATATTACATCACATCTGCATTTTAAAAACACCACAGTTACCAGCAAGCTGAGGGAAACGCAAACAAACTCAAACAAAATGCATTTGGACAGCTAGAGGCAGTTTGAGTTTGAAATGTGGTAGGCATGGTGATCTACAAAGTAATACTGATTAGCTGAGGTTCATCAGTTTATACAGTTTACAGATCTGCCAGAAACAGGATTAATCTGACAACTGATCTTCCAGTACATGAATTGGCAAGAGTGCATCCTTTAAAGCTTGCACATAAGAAAGACTTGGAAACAATCTTATTAGAATGAGAAATTCTAAAGTGGTCAAAAAAAAAAAAAAAAAAAAGTCAAGTACAAAACAGTTAGAGCTACCAAACTTCACATTTCGGTATTATTTTTTTTAACTCTTCAAAGTCTGCCAATCTTCCAAAACAAAGGAATGTAAAATTTCCAAAAGGAACACAATCACAACTAATGACACTGCTTTCTTTTTTTACTGTTTAGAATGAGCACTATCATTCCTGTAAACTTATCTTTAAGATGTTTCACTTCCAATTTGTATCGTACATTTTTAAATGTACTGTAGCTTATTTAGTTTATCCTGAGTCTTTGAAAAATAACCAATTCTGTTTCAGCCCAACAACTTAACTGGCTTCTGAAGAGTTAAAACACGAACAGTATTTTTAAAGAATTAAACACAATCAATATTCGATTTAAAAAGATCCCCATCATAAAAAAGCAAAAGAAAAGCTGCCATTTTCCTTCAGAATTACATGCATCAGAATCTAAAAACCTGCCTTAAAAATAGTTTTAAAAATCTGTTTTAAAAACACACCTGCTAAAAACACAAGTTTTGCACTACAGGTGAAGCTTTACTTCACATTTTACTTTATCTTGCTTTTCAAGTCCAAGATCATTTCTTGATAAAATAAATACCTTTCTTAGGGTAATATTTTTTTTCCAACATTTTGAAATAAAATTATCACTAACAGCTACAGTAAATAGATGATGTATGGCAGAAGGAAAACAGCAGGTAAAACTTGTTATCATTGAAGAACTTGACCTCAAGGTTGTTACAGAAAGAATGAGATCTAGTGATAGCTGGCGCCTGCTCCCACCGAAGTACAGAACATCTGCAAACCTCAGTGGAAACAGAGTCTGGCACCTTTGACATAACTTCTGCATAATTTGCCATATGAAAAGAAGGCTCAACGACTTTTCACATGATTCAGAATCTAAATTGTTTCACGCAGAACAATCTTTATTATTTTTTAAATGAGCTATACCGTCAGAGCCTTAAACACTGACTTGAGGATGGCATTTCAGATTTCCAGCAAATCTGGTTTTAAAACTTGTGTCAGCAAGATGTTCAGTGACAGTTTGCATCTTTCTAAAGACTATTTTAAAATATCCCCATTACCTGAAAGTTAAAAATACAATGAAAACAGAAAACTTTAATTTCAAAAGAAATTACACAGCCAGCAGTAAATGCACAGTGAAAGACAACTGCCTGCTCTTACTTTAAGGAAGGCTTTTTTTGTTTTTTAAAGTATCCATCAACATTTTGATTTTTACACAGAGATTTGTATAGTCAAAGAGACAGATACAGAACTTCCTAGTTGCAGAATCCTCTGCTTACATCTACATGATGTGAAGCGGAACAGTGATTGTTATATTAAAATAGATCCTGAGCCCCTCAGCTGCTAATATTGCTGAAAAAGTGCTCCAAATAAAATAAAAATCACTTAAGTTGCTAAATAGTCATGCAGACTTAAAGAAAAATGCTTTTACATTGACACAGAGCCACGTGTTTGAAAAGGCACAGTTTACAAATCTCTGCAAAGTTGTGAAATGTTGCATACTGAGTTTAGGTAAAGATCTCCATTTGTCAATCACATATTTAGGTAGGGTCCTCCACTGGCCTTGAGTCCGGGATGTATCTGTCATCAAGGCCAGCAGAACAATACCAGTTGCTGTGCTTAGCTGCACTGCAAGAGAGTTATTCTATATACAGTAGCATCTTCGGTGTGTCCGCCTTACACGTAAGTGGCTACCATGTAGTACGGAAGACTGGGTGTTTCAGCAGCTCCCGCGATGGGGGTCTGTCCTGAGGTTGAAGTTCTAAACACCGGAGAGTCACATCCCTCAAGCCAGGAGACAGGTGCGAAGGGATTGATGGAGCAGTGGTTGCACTAGCAATCTGAACAGAGAGAAAACTCCTTTCAAGTCAGTGACTCTTCAGAGCCCCACCTCTTCCCCAGACAGTAAAAAGCTGGTCATTTTCAGCTGTTATGCTACACGCTTTTATCCGCTCAGCACAGTTCCCACTGCAGTTTATAGGGTTACATTAATTTCTGCCTCTCTATAAAATGGGTCTCAAGTTCCTTTTATGACTCTTTCCCCAACAACATGTGCTTGTCACAGACTGCCTCTCTCCTTGTACTCTTCTCTCATTTTTCTTCTAGCAATATTCTGCAGCAAACAATTGCAGGGCAGTTCATAAGAAGTGGCTCTCAGGCCACGGGTGTGGGTATTCGGAAGTCTACTCCTTGCCATTGGTGTTAACTGGCATAGCAGAAGCCAGCATGGAGACAGATTGTCCTTCAGGGTGGCAGCAGAAATGCAGTAAGGACAAAGAGAACATAACTAGCTTAACATATTATGTAATATCAGTTAAATCTTTCTGAGATGGAAGCAAGTTGCTCCCTATCATATTGATTTTTACCTTCTCTAGATCAGACTGAGAAATATGATGGAGAACACTTGAGTGTCACCATCAGATTCACAGACATCAACTCGTTAAGATGATTATCTCTCTTATTTAAATACTACCGTATTACTTCTGCTTCATGGAAACACTTTCTTTACTGATTCCAGTGGAGATGCTGATCACTTTCTTTACTTCTGTCAGTATTTTCTTCACTCATGCCTGGAGCTGAACTAGATTTTTAACTAATGATATATACATATGTATGTATATGTCTACATATGTCTATTTGGCTCTGGGCAGCCTGGTTTGTTAGTTGGCAAACCTGCACATAGCAGGGGGGTTGAAACTAGATGATTGTTTTGGTCCTTTTCAACCCAGGCCATTCTGTGATTCTATATATCTAATTGGTTTTACTAAGAAATGTGGATAGACTAGAAAAGGGAGGGACAACATTTTTTTATAGAATGGCATAATGGTAGGCAACTTTCAGCAAAACCTGGTCATGGAACACATTTTTCTGAAGGATGTTTCTCCCCTATGAAATATGAATATAAACACAAATGTTCTATAGTAGAAACACTTATTTTGCTTCCATATTTTGTAGGATCGTAAGAAACAGTTCAAACGCTTGACTCTAGGAAGATTTGATTAACTCTACTCCTATATGTGTGTTTTTTCTTTGCCTGTTGCATTAGTTATATTAGAATAAAGCTTTTTCTACATACTATTGTAGATGGCTCAGGAAGAAAAGTCATTAATCAAAATGATTAGTATGATGATATTAGTATTGCTTTTAGACAAATTGTTCAGCCCACTGTAGCAATAAAGAACCTTACCTTAAAGATCAGAGCAAGATGATTGGAGTGTTTCTCTGCGTTCCAGGGAGGTTTAGCACAAGCCATTTCTATAACAACACAGCCAACGCTCCACACATCACAGCTCCTACCATACTGCTGACCTCTCAGAACCTGCACAGAGAAATCATAGCCCAGTTTATCTACTGCAAAGTCTCCTAAGTTCAAGAAAAATAAATAAATAAATAAAAGCAACCACATGCATTCTGATCAACATTTTATTTTAACAGAGTGGTCAGTAAATGCCACTAAACTTACACAGAGAGCCAAAAATATAGTGCCTGACTGAAGGACCAATCAAACAATCTTGCAGTCTTTTGACCAAATGGTCATTTGTGCTTTCTTAACAATAATCATGAAAGGTCTTTCAACAAACCACTTACAACGATTTTGATAAGAAGGAGAAATCACTATTGCTATGTTGAAATCACTCCTACTCTTTAGAACTAGTATATTTAAAATTAACTAGAAGCATTTATAGCAGTTTCTATGTACTTGGCTGTATGAATCAGCTAACAGAACTCAAACAGCTTTTTGAAGTAATTTGCAAAACTGATTTCTTACCTCTGGGGCCATAAATGCAATAGTTCCCAACAACTGTCCCTGGAACTCCCCAGCACCAGTTCCTTTTGATGCCAACCTGGCTGCAGCTCCAAAATCAGCAATTCTTAATCTATGACCTGTGCTGTCAATTAGCAAATTGGCACCTGTCAACAGCATAATAAAAACACTGCTAGTTGGTTTTCTGTTAGGAGGCAAAGGCATGCACAGGCAGTTTTCCAATTTCAAGACTACGGATGTTCCTCACCCTCAGAACCAAGGAAATCTTACAGTCAAGGGTAAACGCAATATTGTCACTTTTTTGTTATGCACAAAACTGCTGAACACAGCTTGAGGCCAGATGAGATTCAGAAAAGCAGTCAAACTTTCAAAGTAGGGCAAACACAGAATTCTGCAACAATGTCTGGAGCACAAGCAACAAAAGAAAATGTCAACTTAGAACTCTGGAAGTTTTCACTGTCTGCAGCTATCTGTTGAAATTTAAACTTATTTCATCCTTAGCTAGATTGGAGATGTCTTAAAGAGAACTAGACAGCAAATAAAAGTTTTCCTGATTCAAGGAAGAATATTAAAAGGCAAGAGTGTTTACCCCTGTTATGTTGCTACCTATCTGGATCTGTTTCTTGTTTGTGGACAACTGTAGCAACATGAAAGGCAGAATTTTAATAGAACTGAGATTTTCCAATAAATTCCAAGTTGTGTTCAAACAGCACAACTATGTTTATGTTCGATTAGGATGACGAAAGAGATCCCAGAATGTTTTTATACATTGAAACCTGACTACTTCTGGCTTGTTCACAGACTGTAATGTAAATATTTGCCTTAATTTAACTAATTGATCTCTAAAGCTATATGGCAACTTTATATTTTATTTGAACAAATATCCAGAAAGCTGATTTCTTCCAAATAATTGGCACAAATAGCCAGCATCCCTAGGAATACTGTGAATGTTCTGATTAATTTCTGTTACAGTTTTTAAATACGATCAGACAAACCCAACAGAGATACAACTCTTGAGATGGCATCCAAGAGAAACAACAGGTCTCAAGCAAGAGACTTGCTTGAGAAGCTGCTTTCAAAACAGTATGCTTTAAAAAAAGTTTTAAGTAAATCTTACCTTTGACATCTCTGTGAATTATCTGATTCTCATGGAGGTAAGAAAGGCCACGTAACAGTTGTTCTGTGTAATTAATAATAACCGATTCTTTGAAGGCTCCATATTTACTCAACAAATGAGCAACTGATCCCCCTAGAAGAACAGAATATATCAACACTTCTATTTCGTGATATAGGAATGTGGTACTGCTTCCTAAAATTTGAGTTCTCTAGGTAAAAGAAACATGATTGACAACTTAATTACTTTCTGCCTGAAACTGTACATTCTATTATGATAGAGGTTTTTACACTTCCTGAAAAAAGAATTTTATTCTTAAGAAATGTACCAATTCTTTAATTATCAAGTACTGGCATGTAGATCATCAAGGATTTGGATTTTCCACTGTGCCCTTCCAAGTAATATAAAATAACTCAGCACTGAGCGATGTAAAGACAGCTCCTGACAACTCATTACCGAAGTAATATTATTTCAGGAAAGAAAATTTACAATCAGCAGTGCAGAAAATAACACATACTTGAATTTTGCTTGTTAGCACTCTGGTATTGCTAAGTGGTTTATGTGAAAGAAAGTAAGTTAAGGAGCAATGCTTTCTTTCATGAGAGAGAAGCATGTGTAACACACTAAATGTATTCTTGATAACCAGACTGTAACAATTTAATTCAAGTCATAAAATAAAGCTCCTTCTCAAAAAAAAAAAAAAAAAAAAAAAGATATAAAACTTTTTCCATGCTATATACAATAGCAAGAAGAAAATACTACTAAATTAACACTTAACAGATTTAACATTTGAATGTTTTTTTTTCCTGAAGCATATTTACTTGCTGCCTACCATTAGAAATTTACTGTAGGTTCGCAAATGCCTTTGCATTTTCCTCACACAATTTTAAATAAAGGAAAATGTAATAATATTTCTTAGGGGCTCTCAACTGCAAGTTAGTCACAGAAAATTCCCAATTTAAAAAAAAAGATTCCCGGTAAGAATACTGCTTAATCTGTATTATACAAACTTTCCTTTTCAATCAGCACAAATCTTTAAATCAATAATGAAAAAATAGTTTTGCAAACTAATGCAATCCATGGAATATTTTGCGGTATGAAAGTATTTAGTTTCAAGCCATTCAATACTTTCATTATTTTTTCACATGTAGCTTTTTACCTGCCATCCATTCAATAAAGAGGTTATAGTTGCTCTTCTCACATGTAGCACCCAACATGCGAATAATATTAGGATGGTTTAGATGACTCATCATCCGTATCTCCTCCCTGAGTGCTTCCACTACCTCTTCTTGCTCAGATGATGTGTTCCTGACATATGTCACCTGTTTTGAAATACGACATTCAGATTTATCTTATATAACTGCCAGTTCTGTATTTGTGCCCCGTCCTCCTGCCCACTGGTAAAGCAATGAGAGCGGATGTCTTTCCATCTCTGCTCAGTACCCAAAAGCTGCAAGTGTTCTTTTAAAGAATTTCAAGTCCCTTCAGCTGAGAATAAATCTCCATGTGAGACAGCCATAGAGAAGTAAGACCAATCTTCTGGTCCTACCAGCAGAATCCCTGCAGTGGAGAAATTTCCCTCTTCACTTTCCTGCTTGAACTAAGCTATATATTGCAAAATGTGTATTAGAAAGTACTGTATTTCTTAAAATCAGAATAACAATAATAAAATGAAAATATTATGTTAATACCATGCATAGAGTTTGTATTATGTGTTAGGTGACAAATGACAGCAGAAGACACGAGCAGTTTGTGAGAGGACAAGGATTTAAAATATATAAGGTGAATATTATATCAAGAGAGCTGGGATTGTTTAGTCTGGAGAAGAGGAGGCTCAGAGGAGACCTCGTTGCTCACTGCACTCTACAACTTCCTGAAGGGAGGTTGTGATGGAGAGGAGTTTGGCCTCTTTTCCCAGGCAACAAACAGGATCCAGGGAAATGGCCGCAAGTTGTGCCAAAGGAGATTTAGCTTAGACATAAGGAAGAACTTTTTCTCTCAGAGAGTGGTCAGGCACTGGAATGGCTGCTCAGAGAGGTGGTGGAGTCGCCGTCCCTCGCAGTGTTCAAAGGCATCTGGATGAGGAGCTACACGATACAGTTTAGTTGCTTATGGTAGCAATGGTAATGGGAGGATAGCTGGACTCTTGTAGATCCTTTCCAATCTTGTGATTCCATGGTTCTATAATATCCCACAGAAACACTGAAGCAGAATATGTTCAAGAATGTGAAATATTTACCTGTTTTACAGCCATTAATGTCCCTGTTCCTACATCTTGAGCTTGGTAACAGGAAGAGAAAGCTCCAAGACCAATTTGCTGACCTTTAAGCCATTCTGCATCTTCCCTGTAATGATGCTTTGCTTTGGTATGTCCAGGCAGAGTTTCTGGTGTCTGCAAGTTACATTCCAAATCATTTACTTGTTTATTAGCATGCATCTACAATGTTTATGTTCTTGAAGACTATTAAATACTCAAATTTATAAGCCTCTCCTCTCCCTTACAGTTACATATATTGCAGTATTATACATACTTTGGATGAACACATCCTTCCACAACCCACACATTTCTATTGTATGTTAGAACATAGCTGCTCTTCTGCATTACTAACTTAAAGTGAAAAGCAAGATATAAAAACATGAATAGGACCAAGACTTTTCTATTCCTTATCTCATTTCTAACAACCTAACATAAGCAAAATTACACTTTCCATTTAATTTACTTCTGCTTCACCTGTTGTTGTCTTACGCAAGCAATCACAAAAAACAACTATTTCGTTCATTCCAGCAACACTACCAATTCTGCTGCCTTTCCTAGGCATGTAGCCTCACAGCATCTTACTTCCTTCAAGTCAAAATACTTGACCATTTTGTGAGCTTCCATATAACTTCTTTCTCTATTCTTATTTCTTGTGCTTTTGCATGCGTACAAACAATGGCCTTTTGGGTTTTAGCAGTACCTTAGGTATCTTGCAGCTTTCCTCTCAATATGTGCTGAAAGGAAGATCTCTTCCTACTCTGCTTATTCTTTCAGAAACTAATTTGATACCATGTGATGGCTTTTAAAATAAATCAACACCAAAACCCAGTACAGTTTAATTCCTAAAAACTTCACTCTCATTTTCTGCTTCCCCCCCTTTCCTTTACACTTTCTTCTTCGCTATTTTAAGGAGAGCTACATATCTCCTTTCCAAACACCTTCTCTAAACTCGTTAATAACCATGGAAGGATTCTGCAGCACCCTCAACTTGTAGACTGTTTATATTCCAACTTATAGGAGAGAACACTGAGGCAATTCATGTTTGTACAACTCTGAAAACACACCAGCACCACCTTAAACTATGCAACTTCAATTCAGATGTTTATTCTGAATTCCCATGTGCATACTTACATCCTGCTGAATAATTATGATATCTTCACCATTTTCGACCTGTAGTTGGGGAATTATCGGCAGGGCATCTTGAGATGCTGACATTGCCATAGCAATAGCTAAAGCTTCCTCTTCTTCAGCTTCCATCTTTTCCTTGCATTTTTGATTATGATTTACATCATCTTTGTAAGTATCATCATTTTCTGCCCTCTCAGGAGAAAGAACTGCAACTTCGGACTTGAATGTAACTGTGCCATCGCTTGTTGGCATGGAGGCCTCAAGTAGGTCCTCAATACTAGAGTTGAGCTCTGCACTCACATCCAACCGACATTTCTCATCTACTGGTGTGAACACCGTCTCTTCACTTGGTATAACTGCACTACTGTTACTACCATTGCCATCACACTGAGAAGTATCATTCAGGTCAAGAGTCATACTGTTCTTTGAAGTTTCTCCCTGCTTGTTCATATCATTTGGAGTGGGTCGCGATGGCTTTGGCCTGTGTATGTGACTAGATGGCAATGGCCTGGCTTGGGTAAAAATTGGAGAAAGCTTATCTGGTTCTTTATTTTCAGAGCAGCTTCTCTGAAACTGGAGGGAAAGCTTCCGTTGTGTTTGAGGAGAAGGTGAGGAGATTTTGCAGGGAATGAATCCCTGAGGTCTGAGTTTAGAGACATCTGTTACAGTGCCAGCTGGTACAGATGGGTTTGAAGGAGAGAGAAGAGTTGGGAATAGTGACTGGGAATGACTGGATGAGGGAGAAGAGTTCAAACACTGACTGTAGGGTTTTCCTTTTGTTTGAACAGCTGGCTTTGGTTGCTCAGTGGTTACTGATGAAACAGGAAGTCCCACAGCTAGGCCAGCCAGTGTCTCAGAAATGTCCTCTGGACTGGCACTCAGTTTTTTGTCACTTAATCCTTTCCCACTTTTCCCTGATAACTGGACAGTATTGTTAGGAGTATTATTTTCTGTAGCTTCTGGAGAATTGTCTGGTACAGGTAGCTGCAGAAAGTCTTCATGTCGACATTCCCCAGACTGTATTTCTTCCATGCCTAGCTGGATGGCTTCTGCAACTTCCATTTCATCTGCTATTGCCATCAGACGTCGACGCATCCTTGTGTAATGAGTTGAGCTTGTCACACTCAGCATTTCTAACAGCTTTACAAACACGTGAGGCACTCTTGCCACCATTCTTGCTGAACTCAAAAATACTCTCCGTGATAGTTTACCGACCATTGAGTGGGAATTGTCAATTGACAGCAAGGCGAAATTTAGAAGGGAGAGAAGTTTCTTATACCTGTAATTAAAAATAAATACATTTTAAAAAAATCTGTTTTATGAAGTGATATGCTCTGGTTAGCCTGTACTAAGAAAGCCGTTTCAAGACCATGTATTTAGCTGTTAGTTCTGCAGTAGCAAAAGGACTTATTGCTTGCACTGCTGTTTCAGAATTGTTTGATAGGTCAGAAACAGAAAATGGCAACCAGTTACTCTAAAGTAGGTGCACTTTTACATGCAAATATTTGTTTACAGGAATTCATCATCCCACAATTTTTTGAAGAGATCACCAATGACACCATCAACCACACAGAGCATTAATTAAACAGTGTAAGCAAGTACCTGCCTACTATGGTATCAGCCTGTAAAACATCTCCACAGACAATGTGAGGATAAAATTCACCAGGAAATTCCAACAGAAGTCTGTCTATAAGACAAAGTCTCCCCAGTAGCGCTTGCCAGTTGCTAGGTTCAATTTCAGTTGCAAGAATACAATTTAAGACATAATCAACATCCAATGGACCAATACCAATGGATCCTAAAAAAAAAAAGGTGATAAAAATAAGGATTAGATATATTCATAGTTCAAATTCCATAACGATCAAAAGTTTTACATGGAATTATATCTGTGCCCAAAATAACTCCAGCCCCAAACTCCAAAGAAAAACATTTTGTCTTATGTTTTGGATAAATTCTGTACTTAATTAAAAAAAAAATAAATCAGTATATTTGCTTGGAATGATAACCCATTTATATATGAAGAACTATTATTACCTGATTTAAGTATTTCTCTCCCAACTGCCAACTCTCCTGCTTGGCCTTTACACATCTCCAATAGTGTTGAGACTGAAAGTTGACTTGTTCGACTATAAGAAATTCAAACCAGAAGTAACTCCTTTAGCTGGTGGTTTTTAGAAAAAACTTTATAACATTTCAATAATCATTAGCTGGAAATTGTATTTGGATATCGACTTCACTTTATACCAATTCATTTGTACAATGGCTGCTCCGAAAATAATGCCTCTTAATTCATTATGTTGGTCCATGATGTTAGAGGCAGATGTTGGTGGTACAGCAGTAGAGGTTGAACCTTCCCACCAATATCCTGTTGTTGCTGTGCGACAGATGGCAACACAGGGGCAGTCTGACAAAATGGTGTCTGACATGGAAGCGCATATGAAGCAAAGGTGTCACTGAGTTCTTCCATGTGGGGGAAAAAAAAGTATCCATTGACATTCACTGATGCTTACTTAATGGAGATCAATGAATGTGAGCATAGTGAGGTGGTGGGTGGTGTGCATCAGCAGTGGAGACAGCAGGTCACCTCTATTGGTACAGATTTTTACAAATACACCCTGCAGGCATTTGTTCATCACTGGAAAAAATGCACAGTTAATGATGATAACTATACTGAAAAATAATATTTTGTTCCTAAGAATTTGCTCTGTGAAATGCAGCTATTATGCTCTTTTTATCTGTTGTAGTTTCCATGGAAATAAACAAGAGGCATTAGTTTTGGAGTAACCTACATACAATAGTGTATCTGCAAGCTACAAAGAGTTGTGCTGTATTTACAAGGACATTCCCAGAAACTTCATATATATCACCAACAAATAAATAAAACAGATAGGAAGCAGCTTCCTTGTTTCTCAGTACATTCCTATTTCCCAAGTTCTTAGAAACCTTAGGCAATAATCTCTTGCAGAAGAAATCACTCAGGTGCACATTAGGACCTTCTCCTCTTGTAAGCACAGGCTAAATTCAGAAATCCAGCAGCAAAAGAAACGGTTCAATTTCTTTTCTTAAATTTTACATGCTTTATCATTAGACAATTGCTGGTGGGGGAAGGGACCATTGCTAGCTGGTTTTAGAAGAAATGCTGCTTATGATAAATTAAAATGAAAGAGACAGTGATCATGGTGATTATGTTCTGCAAATAGTTCACTGTACAGCTGAAAAAATGGTTGGCCTGGCAGAGCATATAGGATAGTTCAGGACAGGAAGACAAAGCCTAGCTGATGATTTCACCCAACGTATCTTCCTTAATTTTAAAGGAAAAGGTCTTTACGAAAGCAAAGCATCATTTAAGATATCTAAATGCTGGACATACATAATCAGATGCGCTCAAAACCTACATCCTTCAAGATCAAAGTTGGTTGTAGCAACTAAACTAACAAAACCATATATCATAGCACACTTACACTTATCATCCACACATTTTACTTCACCACATCTTATAAATGCTCTTATTGTTTCACACAAAATATCAACAAATGAAGATTCAAGATATTTCAGTAACAACCCAAAATAAATTTGAAGTTAATGAGACCATACCTGTTGGCATCTGCACATTTAACTAATATTGTCTCTACAACTGGCTTCAGAAGTCGCTGTAGTTTAGTCTTTTCTGCCAAGCTATGACAAGGAGTATAGACCAGCATGGCTCTTAAGGTTTTCTAAGAGAAATGAGGAAAATCAGTAAATATAAATCAGGTCAGTTATAGAATTTTTTAATTAATGTGAATAACTTCACATAAATTGCATTAAAAATATTACAGAATTGTTAAAAGGATAAGGAGCTAATCAGGCATCCGCAGTCGAAAGTAGTAATGCATGTGGAAAGGACAAGAAAGGAAATTAATATAGTGAAAAGAACACAGACATACCATTACTGCTAATAATAACCATTTCCCTGTATTTGGCCAGTGGATACATGCCAATTCACCCTTGCTAAAGACTATCCATTCTGCTTTTAGACGATAACTAATAGTCAAGTCATGAGTAATGCTTAACAACAATAATTAGGATTCTTGACCTTACACATCTCCTTCTCCTATCCCTTAAAAAAAAAAATGAAGTAACTAGAATACAATGAGTAAACAACTACTTACTAAAGCAGCAACATACACTTTGTAGACAGGGTCAGCACAGACCATGGATAGCACACTGCAGCAAGATTCCACCACAACATCTCCTGAGACGGTGGTCTGAGATGACCCACTCGCTACTCCCAGAGCTCCAGCACTTGTGTTGTGTCCATTGCCATTTCCAGAATTTCCAGTGCTTTCTCCATTAGCCAGTAATAGAGCACCACTAACATCATGGGAAAGACGTCTAAGTGCCATCTCTCGTATATTCCAGTTTCGAGAAAACAAGCAGCCGACTAACTCCATTCCAAAGACCTGCCAAATAGAAACCTTACATGAGTCAAGTTGAATAACATCACAACTGATGAAAAACCACCCTAAGACATCTGTCAGCCAGAAGTTATATGCCAGAGGTTATACTATCTTAAAATACATAAATAATTTTTAAAAATCTATGATATAAATTAACTGTCATAAATAACGAGTCTTCAGCTCTTCAGAAACTCTGCTAGGCCAAGTGGGGGTGGATAATTTCATTCACTATACTTCAGTTACTCAGTAATGCAGGTTTTAGACAATGATTTAAACAAAGCTGAAAACTAGGTCCAGCTATTTTTGACAAAAATTGACAGCAGAAATATAGGGCAACAAGTTATCCCATTCTTCTTTTCAGCACAAGATCCCTACTCAGTTGAATCCAACTTCAGCCTAAGGAGTATTTAGGCTGTTTGTCTCTTGCAACCCAACTTAAGTAACAATAAGTGCCAACTTGGTTTTTATATGACACTTGCACAATAAATTGCACAAAACATTGTGTAGACGGACATGGCATAACAAGAACTACTGCTGATTGGTGAGTGGCTGGATTGGATGATCTTGTAGGTCTTTTCTAACTTTGGTGATTCTATGACTAGACTAAAATTAAGAATATGAATTTTGTTACGAGAATCTTCAGTAGGAGGCCCGGGATGAAGTCTGAATGATAAGGCACTAGAACTGGCTGACCAGAGAAGCTGTGGATGCCTCCATCTCTGCAGGCATTAAAGGCTAGGTTGGATGGGGCCTTAAGCTGCCTGATCTGGTGGGTGGCAACTCTGCCCACAGCAGGGCTGCAGGAGTGATATTGTCTTTAAGATCTCTTCCAATCCAAACTGTTCTATGGTTTTTATGATAAGATACAAAGATGGTCAAATAATGTTTTGCTAGACTATCTCAAGAAGCTTAAAACATACAGGCGATCAGTCCACTTCAGGGCCATTTTTTTTATTTCAGGCAAGTAATTTAACCACAGTATAGCCCAGTTTGGTGGTTAACCTAGGACTAATAAAATAACAACACAGACAAGATACTCAAGATTAGTTGCTTCCAAATCCTAACACAGTATCTTTTATACCAAGATTTTTCAGAAGAAAGCTCCTTTGTGCCAGTGATTAATAACAGCAGTAGGAATGAATACTTAGAAAGTACTTCTTTGCTGGCCATTAAGCACAATGATCATAGCTTCTTCTGAAGAAAATGCAAGTAGTTTTGCATTTATGCTGTGCAATATTATATTCACTAGGAACAAGTTTAGCAACATGGTTTAAAAATCAATTTTTACATTTGAAGCTCCTTTTACACTGTAAAAATTACCTGAATCCATGGCTCAGCTAAATCTTTATAGGCAGAAGGAATCTGCTGGACCCCATAATGAGTAAGGTTAAAGTTAGTATCCTGGGTTCTTCTCTGTGATCCAACTGTTGACTGCTGTTGAGTTTGTTGTTGAACCACATGGAGAACAGAAGAATCCACAGGGCTTGGCAATTCATGACTACAGATTAACAGCAAAGAACAAAGATTAAGAAATGAAACACTGACGAAGTTAAATATTTTACCACATTCAAGAATGTCTCTTCAGAGCCAGAAAGATACACTTACATTCAGACTGAATGCCTACCTGTAGAAATCATGAGACCTCCATTTAGATCTACACAGAGGACATATAAGTGGCTCTCTGTTTCTTCTACACTCTTCTGCCCCTGGATAAAAGCAACAGGAGAACATTTTCCAGCTTTCCAGTGCATAGACCAGATGTCTAAGAACTAATATGTCTTAAGTTACACTGAAAAAAATTCATTTTCTAACTGAAACTTCTAGACTGAACCATGTGAAGCATTCTGACAAATATGTGCATTTAAACATTTCTTCACACAAAAGTGCTTCATGTTGGCTCTGTAATTGACATTGAAAGACATGAACTGAAATATGATTCTTTTTATGCCTCTAATAAAAGTAATATCTTTTTTGTGTACAAAAATACAGGAGACTGAGCTTTATTTGTTGAAGTTATTTGTTGAAAGTATTTACACACTTTATTTAATGTAGCTTGTACAAGTACTCTTAATTCACTACATAATCCAAGGTTAGAGTAGACAACTTTCATGTACTCTCATGACAAGTCACAGTAAATCTGCACCTAACCTTATTCTAATTGTTTAATAGTCTTTTCAATCAGGTTAAAAAAAAAAGTTCTAACTTTTAGCCCTGCAGTTAACTTTTTTCTCAAAGCACTAAACTACAAGCTTGATTTGTGAATAACTGATAAAAACAGGTGTATCGGTGGTATCTGAATGCTGATAAGGTGTCACAAAATTCTACAGTCATCATCTAGGAGCAAGTTTCTGGTTTTGTGAGTATTTTTTCTCCACTTTTAAATAAAAAAATCTACAAAACCCACATTGGATTACACTAAATTGTAGTACTTTTGCATACCTAGAGTCACAAGAATTTAATGAGACAAATATGAAAACATACATATTGACATGCAGTGGTGGTGTAATTTGTTCCTGCAGCCATCTTCACACACAGTCAGGCTCTCTTCATCCAGCATGCCTAACAAACAAATGGGGCACATCTGCTCTTCTTCATCTTTCATACTATTGAAAAGAATATATATGGATTTGTGATTTTAAAATAGCATATCGGAATTCAGAACAGGTTTTAGCAGTTAGAAAGATTAATTTACAACTACTTCTAAATGACTATGCGCTATTCAGAATAATTTTCCTAATCCTTGGTATCAGTAAATAAGCAAACAATTTTGAATGTGCAAAGAAAAGACAACAGCTTGCTGAAATGACATCTTTTATGACATCTTTTCAAACTAGGTCAGATATTAATTAAGAGACAGAAAGGTCCAGCACTTACATTTTTATCTCCATAAAGGCTTCTTTAAACAAAGTTTGTTTTTTCAATTATTATTATCAGTTTTGAAAAATTAAGGAAGTTCTTGATTTTGAAATCTGCATACATTTTTTTCCCATCATAACATTGAGTTGTAAGATAGTATTTACAGATTTCTGTATTGGTCTAAAGACTACGTGATAAACATACGTAAAAAATAATACAGCCATTTGAGTCCTCTGACAGAAAACAACGTAGTAGATTTGCATAAATGCTAACATACCAACACTGTAGATCAGTAAAAAAATCACCTATTCTGCATGTTAATTACATTTTATTTACCCCTTCTTTTAAGTTAATGTAATCAGAGATTTCGAAAGAAAAAGATATTTTAAACTTAGATAACATTTAGTGGAAAACAGATTTAATATTCTGTAATATTTCTTGAATGTACTAAGCTGATTATCCATACTACTGATTTAAGTTATAGTTGGTGTATGTCTAGAAGTTTGCAGAAATCCTGTATTTGTTCAGCAGCAGTGGTTCTTACAACAAAACTATATTGTACATATTTGTTTCTATTTCTTTGCAAACTGGTGACATAATTTTTTTTCCAGTGTAAGGTTATTTTTGTGATTTTTCAAGGAAAAAAATAACCTCTACAGAACAACACATGTACTAATTTAAAACATATTTTTGAAGAACTAGTACTAAACTAAATTTAACTCAAATCATAGCAAGCATCAGAACTGAATGAAGTTTTATCTTAAACGAATCTGATGCTCAGTGTTCTCCAGTATAATACAAACACAGACCCACAAAATGGCAACCTATCTCACTGCACCAGTAGTGGTAGGAGCTACCTGATGGCTAGGAGGTATACTGGCAAGCAGTTGGAAAATGTTTTTTCCTGTCAATAAAGACAATTAGTGAAGTTCACAATCCAATGAAAGAAATACATCTTTCCAGACAAGGTACAGAATTAAAGAAACTGACAAGACAAATGGTTCTAGAGTAATTTATGTATTTAACTGGTTTATTTATCTTATTTATTTATAATGACCTAATTTGGAAAAACAGATAGTGGGAAACTAAGGTCGTAGTCTATAAATCAGAATTATAAACCTGTCTGAATATATTCAGCTAGCACCATGGGAATGATCACTAACATATCACGGTAGTTCTTATATTAGCTTTCACTTCACACATAAGAAAGCCTCAGTTCTGACCGCCGTCTGTAGTTTGGCGTCTCTAGAGGATGTCTAGTTCACTCAACCCACTAATTCAACCCACAAACTACTTGTTTAAGAAGTAAGATCTCTGCAAAACCAAGAAAAGGACAAGCAAGAGCACCCAAACTGTACAGGCTGAAAAAAAAATAATAATCACTAAAAACTGAAATAAAGTCATTTTAACATAGTGTAAAATAGAAAAATCATACTAGTTAGTAACTCCCTTCACTATAACCATTCACTTTTCATGAAGAGTTTTCTTCAAAACATACTTGAACATGTGAGCATACATCTTTTATTATGTGCTTACATGCACAGTGTACACCCAGAAAATTTTCAGTGTATTCGCATGTGCACAATATCTCAAAAATAGTATCAATTTATTAGGAAAAGAGAAAAAAGTGAAATCCTGTGTCTTGATTTGTCAACATCTGCAAACTGCTATATGTGAACAAATAAAAGTGTCAAATAAAAACAAATAAAATCAGTCTTACATATAAAAACATTTTTCAAGTTTGTTTCCCAAACCAATGAAGGGTAAAAGTAACTCTTCTCAAGTCAGTAACTTTCAAACAGAAAGATATAAAGCAAATATACCCATTTGGTACTGCAGTGACAAACACATGCTTAAGTTTGCAAATATAAAGATTTAACATGGCCTGAAATGAAAGCAGCTTTGAACAAAAAGAATGTATGTGATTCTAAACCTGCAAAATCAGAAAAAAAAAAAACCCAAAACACTACAGAATTGAAGCTTTTAATTCTTTTAGAAAAATACTAACCTGTTTTCTGAACTAGATGTAGAAGTACTAGATGACAATGTATGAGAATTTGACATGCGTGAGACAAACTTCTGGATGGTGTTACGAGATGGAGCTTTGATCCTCGAGCTACGCCTACTGTGATATTTCTGGAACAAACTCTCAACCTAACATCAGAAAAAGATAGCAACAGTCGTATTTATGCTATGAATAGCTTGTATTTAAAGGCAACATTATGGAAGCTTAACTACAGCTGCAAGAGATCTACTGACTTCCACAATAATGCATTAGCAGCAGAAGTATAAGGAAATTTCTAAGTCTTATTATATAGTTCACAAGAAACATGGTTTACAGCAAAAATCCATTTACTTGTTAAGAGAAACTGAAAACTTTAAGGATACACACATCTATAAAGATCTCTGCTCTGCTTACATTTCAGCTAATCAGAGATAGATATAAGTAAGCTTGACTAGAAAATCTGAGATATGAATAATTCACTGAACTACAGTTTCTACTGACATTTTTAATTACACCTTTAATTTGTACATTCTTTTTCTACCCAGACTTAAGACTAAATTAAAAACAAGTAAAAACACAATCTTGTTGCTTAGAAATACAACAGTTTTTAGTATTTTTAGGATAGCATCCTAATGACTTTTAACTGGAGCAATATTTTATATCTGCCATTAGATTCTTATGACATTGATTACCTCAAAGTTTTTCAGTGTCTTTCTCCACAGCATTGGGTCTGAGGGCTCAAGCTGGAACACTCGCAGCATAACGAAGAGCAGATGAATACAAAATGTTCCACGGCCACAGCTACATGTCTGCAAAGAGAAGCACGTGCTAGGACATCACTGACCTTATAGTTAGATGGGTCATTCTTCCACACTGAGGTGCATTATGGAGGGGTATATTACATTAGGAAGGCCCATTAACCCCTTTTGTTGTTGTTGTTGTTTTTGTTTTAAAAACAGATAATTTACTGCAAAATAGTATTTTATATATGGACATAAATCCGAAACATTCAGGACAACTGTAGTATCTGTTCTTTCTTTCTTTCTTTTTTTTTTTAAATGAACTAAAAATTATACTTTTACTGCTCTTCATACAAAAAGGAACTTATGCATATAGTCATAACACAGAAAACTTACATCAGATTCTTCTGTTTACACAAAAACCTATATGTCTCCAATGTAGAATCACAGTGGTACTATGAAAGTCTCTAAAAAGAACCTCTTTATGGATATTAACAATACCATCACTCCACTAGAGGAACTGTGATATTGCTTGTCATTAATATGTACTCCACAAATAAAGGAAAGAATGCTTTTCACTTTGAGAAACTAAAACGAAATTAAGCGGCCACATTTTAGCAAAAAATGTTTAATAAGACATTTAATAAGCCACTTGCCCTATATATTTCTTATTCCTACATTAGTGAAGACTTTTTAACTAGGCTTTTTTTAAAGAGGATTCTGAACAAAAACAGTGCTTGGCACAGGTTTAACAAAAATGCAAGCTGATCATTACATTACACAAGCACAGATTACAACTTTCAAACATTATTTTACAGAACAATTAGCATGGTTTGGTGACTAATTTAACTTGCTTTTGTACAGTTTTTCAATATAGACTATAAATTAGTAAAAGCTACAGACAGCACAAACATTCTTTACCTGAGGTCCAATAAACACTCTGTATTTATTATCAGGGCTATCTCCTCCAATTAAGAAAGAGTTGGGTCCTATCTGCTGCAGCAAGTACAGCCTGGCTCGCATAACTTTGTTGACACGACGACTTGTTTCCTCAGGGCTGTATGGAGAGAAGCCATCTGGAGATGGGGCTCTTCGCGGTGGTGTTATTCGTCCACTCTGAAACTACACAAGTGGTTCCATCATATTCATGACAACTGAAAGTTTAGCTATGTATTTTTCCAGAATGATGAGCCCCTCTAGACCGAAAAAACTATAACCTGATCAGATTACAGGAATTTAAAGAGGACAATCTTCTTCTGAACAGAAATAGAGCACAGAAGAAAAACTAAAATTTTGTAACTGAAATTTTGTTTGGCATTATGTCAGAATAGGAATCTCAAGATGCTTCAACATATGTTCTCACCGGTAGACTTACATTATTACTACTAAATTGTCAGGTATAATTCAACTGGAACATCTTAGGTTTGCGACTCAATATTAACAAGTTACTGAATAAGTTCATAATGCTAATATATTTAATAGGTAATGAAGTCATATGAGTACAGTGTACAAAACAAATATTCAGTCAATGAGGAGTTGACTTTAAGAAATGCCAGTGAAAAAGAAAAGGAGTGCAGCTCCCTATTCTTTACAACACTGGTGCAACTATTGGCTCAAAAGATTATTTTTGATTATGGAAAAAAAAAATCACTGGTCAAAATTTTTTAATTAAAAGTGTCTTCATTTAAGGTCTTCACATTTCTAACATTATGAATGCTTTCATGATTCTATCCAATTTCTAAATTTCTGCTTTGATATAGATCCAATCTGAATTATAAGTTACAATGCAGAAGGTCACAACTGTCTGAATGAAGTAAAAGATATCTTCCAGTTTCTTTCATGTGAAAAGTTAATAACAAGAAGATGAACAACTTAGCATCTGAACTTCTCTCATCAAAAGGAAAGAAGTTGTTCTACAGTGCTGTGCTGTGTGATCTTCATCTCTAAATTGAATGGAATAGCAGTACACATTTCAGCGATTTTGGAAATCTTGTTTAGAGCAATTGGACAGTGAAAGCTATTGTTCCTTCTCTAATTATATGAGTCAGCACATTCAGCTGTGGACAAGTATGCTAGTATTATCTGTTAAACATCATTCCTCAAAATATTATATTCTCAAGCTTCTCCAATAAAGTGAGCTTTTAGTTCTTGAAACATTCCATTCCGTATTTTCATTAACATAACAGTACAGATTTTATTTTCTAAGAATGCACACCTAAAACTTCCCCAACCTCTGTGTAAACATCAGTCCTCAAACAAAGGATCACAAGTAACATACTGGTAACTCTTTTCTACAGAACTCTAACCAACAATTCTACCCTCAAAGGAATATTCCTATCTGGAAAGCTGAAGAAAAACTAGAGAAAGAACAAACTCATGGTACCTCCTTGCTCAAAACAAGCTAAGAGAAAAAGAATATCTGCATTTCCTTATTTATTTCCTACAGAAAAAGTCCTTAGAGGACGACAGAACTAAAAAGAAGAAACACCCCTTAAGAGCAGAGAATAAAATTCCACACATAAGAGAAATGTAACATGATACATGCTCTGGGTATCTCTCTCTCTCAAGTGATGCTGTGTCATAACGCCATTACATCAGCATCTTGTCCTAATCACTGAGGATGATGTACTAACTGCCTCTTTTTATGCATAAGGTTGCAGAATATACTCAATTCAGTCATTACATCACACTTGCAACTTACAGGTACTGGAGATACCCTTTTTCTTCTAACACCTGGTGACTCAGATTTAACAGTCCGAGAGGATGATGAAGAAGAACTGCTAGGAGAAGGACTACGCCGTCCTTTCTGCGTAGGTGAAGAAGCAGTGCTTTGTCCTTCAGATTGAGGTTCTAAAGATAGCTTGTTCATTTCAGATCCATCTCCCTTCACAGGGATAGGTTTCACCACCTTGCAGGAATTAAACCATAAGGTTAGAATTATTTAATTACATTAAAACAGTACAAATACATCAAAACTTCTTTTGCTAGCATTATACAATTAGTGGCCTTGTGCTGCCTGAAAGAGTAAAGGCCTATGTTTATACCCCTGATCTGATCTGCCAATACACTTTAAAATGTCATCATATTGAATGTGTACTGCTTGCAAATCAGGACTTTTTAGAAACCTCTTTTGTGCTGTTTTTAAATATATTGCAATTGGATTACAGAAGTAAACAGCATATAGAAGTATTCAAAAAGCAAACTTTTCCTATAGATTACCACGTTTTTCCCTTCCTGGAAGGTCAGAATGTAATTCATGGGCATATGGACAAATTACTATTATCAACAGCTACAATCTGAAAAAAACCCTAAATATTAAAGTGGTAGTAGCAGAATCTGGAGCTAGAAAGTTAAACTAAAAAAAGAGATGCCTCAAAGGAAGCAGGTTAAATAGTGAATCCATTTCAAGCATTGCAGTAACCATGACACAAAGAAAAAATCCAAATTAAAAATTATTTTCTATAAGAAGTTTTGAGATATTGCTTTTTTTTTTTTTTTTGGTACATTAATTACCAAATACCAATTACCAACACAGTAAACTTGGGTAATGCACAAGATGGCCTTCAACTGTGCATTCCCACCAAGTCACAGTGTAAGTCATATTAATGCAACTACATTCATATGCAACAAATTACTATAAGCTAGCCAGCATTAGTTAGCTTCAGAATTACCGCTGCGATGACTGAGTTTGATTTGCCTGCAATTTCTTAAAAATAAAATTCCTTGAAAGAGGACCTGAGTGAACAGCATGGAGCTGTGCCAGGGGAGGGGTGGCCGGGGGGTGGGGACAGGGTCTGCACCAGAGGGTGGTCGGACCCTGGAACAGGCTGCACAGGGCAGCGGTCACAGCCCCGAGCTGCCAGAGTTCAAGGAGTGTTTGGACTGCGCTCTCAGAGGTGGGGGTTGGATTTTGGGTGGAGCTGTGTGGAGCCTGCAATTGGACTGCATGTACTATGAACCCCTTCCGTACTACAGGGATATTCTATGGTTCTATCATTCTGGAATTACTTCTGAGCTATTAATACAGTTATTAATACTGAAAGAAGCTAATACAGATGCTCTGGCAAACAAAATTTAGCTGAGTTGAGACTTACGTAAAGGAGTTACTCAGGTTTGTTTGCTTTTTTTGTTTGTTTTCAGTACACTTGCAGGGTAGTTTTTGTTTTCATGTAACAAAAATTCCATACAATTACATTACAACACCTTGAAAATTTCTATTTAACATTTTTAAGCTACAGAAATACAAATTAATTAAATCTTCAAAAAGGAATGGAGTGCAAAACACTATTGTGCAGTTCTACACTGATGTTTTCATGTAAGGAGAAAAAGCTACAACAGCTGCTGACATTAGAGAGCAGTACTGCCACAGCAGTTTTATAGTACAGACTCAGCAGCTACAACAGCTGCTGACATTAGAGGGCAGTACTGCCACGCCACAGGACTTTTATAGTACAGAATCAGCAGCACAGCTATATGTTGTGGTTTTTATTTTTGTTGTTTTTTAATAGTTTAAAAACATGTACATTTCAGAAAGTCAGCCACAGCTTTCTATCAAAGAAAAAAATGAATAGGAAAATCACTATTAAGAGCTCCAAATTCTCACGATAAAGAGGTTTCTAAAAGGAAAACTTCAGGAACTCTTATTTGTAAGTTACAGACAATGTCCTTCCTTCAGCATCACTTACCACAGGCCCTCTCCTGCTTCTTCTTTCCAGCCATTCATGCTTCCAAGCTGGCATACACGTTGCCTTGAGTTTCTCCCTGATCATGCGCTCTTCTGGGCGGTCATCCATCTTCTGCAAACCCCTGAGGGTTTCTTTATTCTCCATGTCACGACTACAGCAAAGAAAAAAAATTATAGTCATACAGTTATTTTTATTTAAGTTATAATACCATACCATAGCATTCTTAAATATTGTGCCATCCTATTCTCCATCTCCTTTCAACACACCTTCTAAAACATTATTTTCAACCCTGCAGATTATTATGCAACTGTTTCAGAAGTGTTGTGATGGTTCTTGCATGCACTGACAATTCAAAACTTGCCACTTCTATTTTTAAAATGGCTTACAAAACAGATATAAGTGAATACTGACAAACTTACATCCTCACTTGGTGCGCTAGCATGCAATTCATAGTGCCTCTTCCCATACATAAACACCTCCTCAAAAAAAGGGCTTGTGAAGCAATACACAAAGTATGTTTAAGCCAGGCACAGAAGTCAGGAAAGTAAGGCTACTGCCCCTGAGTGTTGCTTTCAGTGACTAATGACTCAAAAGTGCTGCCAGTCAACTATAATTACAACAGAATTCACAGCAAGTTCATATCTGTAAAATGAAAGCGTAATTCATCTGGATTGTACTTTTTTGACCTACAGCAACGTAGTTACTTGTGATTGCAACAACAAAGAAGCAAAAAAAATTATCTCAGCCGCTGAAAAACAAACATGAGCAGTCTAGAAGATTTCCTGATTCTGTTGAGCTATCTGCTAAATCACCCAGAAAACCACACTGTTAAGCAGTAGCACATGATCCCTGCCCACCTTCTTGATGTTAGATTGTTTTTATGCAAGCTTTATTAAGCCAATTCTCAGGATGAAGTTTCATTTCAAAAAATAAAGTCAACTTGAAGAGGAAGATAGCCCTAGATAATTTAGCTGCAGTGAGAAGCAGCTGCATATTTACAACTGCTGCTTTCACACCTGCAGTCTTCAACATCTAAAATAATTAGCTGTGCAGCCAAAACTACATTTATGTACTGCACGACGCATGACCTACAGCACATTCCCTACGACATTCCCTGGAATCAAAAGATGTGTTCATGAGCAGTATATTATGAGGTTCATTTATTATAAATTTGGACTTAGAAGAATGAGAATGTTTTATTGGTGAGAAAGAGAACCCTCTTGTTTTTTCTCCTCTTATTGTAGAGACAAAGGAAACAAAGTATTCTGAGACAGGAAATAACTCTTCCTGTTCAGTGCTGAAATGTAATAAGCAGATGGATACTGTAAACAAAGTACATTTGCTTTCAAGCAGCACCTCAATCTGCCATTAAAAACTGATTTTAGACACAGAACTGTGTCTAATGATTAAAGACTTAAAAGTATTTATAAGTAGGAAAACAACCCACCAAAGAATCCACTCCTCATCCCCAAGTGGCAAACCTTACATTCAAAACTAAAGCAAGTGACATACAAATTATGTTTGTTCCTGCACTGAAATTATGCTATTGTTTTCAAGAAAGAGACATAAGAAGTGATTCATGATTAACAAGAGAGATATCACAGCAGAAAGAAGAGTCCAAATGTGCCTAAAAGCTTAGAACAGGGGAAAAAAACAACTGTTGTCTCATCTTTCATAGGGCTGATTTCACATTTTTATCTTCACCTAATAAGTAAATAAATAAAGTCCAAAGCAAAGCTAAAAAAAAAACAAACGTGAATATATACAGACATATATTTATTTATATGTGTAATAGGCACACATATATATCTACAAATTTAAAACATATAGTCTGTTTGTTTTTTTTTTTTTTTTCTATGAGCTGGAGACCGTTTCACTTGCATGAATACATTGTATACAAGAGAGAAAACACTACTGCAGCAGGGAAAGAATGGCACAGTATTTCATTTGTCTATATAGGCACGATTAACTTCCCAACAGATACAAAAAAAGTCTTTTAGAGGCCCTTGGACTCGAATTCATGAACAATGTAACACAACAGTGAAGGCCTCACAATCTGCACTTGTTCTCCAAAAGCAGAAGCAGCTATCTTCCTCTCATGTGACAGCTAAACCAATCTGCTCTTGTCTGCACAAAGACCTCTTGTGCTTTTCCTCCACGCAGGTGGGAAAGACCAACAGAGTCTGAGAGCCCTTGCTTAGCAAACTGAGATTATCTTTTGGCAGTTTACAAAGTGTTCTGGAAAGTATTCATATTTTAACTCAAGCTTGGCTAATATTATCATTTAAATATTCTTACACTTTTGCATCTGTGCAGTCATAGGAAAAAAAATACTTATTTCATAAAGTCCCACTGCATACTGCAGCACATCCTCATTTTGCAGCTTGAACGTACAGGGTTGTTTTTTGGTGGTTTTTTTTTTTTTTTTTTTTTTTTTTTTCCTGTTGTTTTTCTTTTATTTATTTTCAAACCTAACACAAAACCTCATCTATTCCAGTCCAGCTGAACCTGACAGTTCACCAGGTTGTCAGTCCTCAAATCAATGCATATTAGCACAAAATACAAACAGTAAAAAAAACCACACCATATACAGCACAGAGGACTTCAAGGCACAGGGTACCCTGATCTTCATATAGAAAAACCCATTCTTGATACAAGAACACAACAAAACCTGACTGCCAGGTGGTACTTGATTTAAATAGCTAGGACAAACAAGGGAGCAGTCAAAAAGTAAATCTTCATTTTACAAGAAATGTTGCTCTGGAGAGCCTGACATTTCTTGACATTGAGATTAATGCAGTGTAAGGGAACAGACTAATGTAACGCTTTGTGCAGCACAGGAGGCAAAACTTTGTCCTTCGCTGCCATCTTGATTTTGAAGCCTTGCAAACACTAATTGAACAGTTAGATTATTAACAAGTAGATCTCTATGGATCAATGATTCAGTATTTTAACACGAAATATGCAATACATGCTGTTCAGCAAACTGTTGTGAAATACACAAGTTTTACTTCTGAACAGATCAGTGAATTTCACACCAATTCTTTGCAAGTATTTTTCTTGCAAAGGGCATATATGAAAATGCAAAACAAACAAACAAACAAAAAACAAAGAAGCAAAACAAAAAAAAACCAACCAGCTGAACTGTCACTCAAATAAATTTTCCTGGGCTTCTCAATACTTAGGAAAGCCGTGGCTTCCCTGCTATTTTGTTTGGGAGACTTTATCCAGAAACTGCACTGGACCAGATTTTCTCATCAGCAGTACCAGTGAAACAGGAAAGAGGTCTGGAAGGAAAGATCTGTCTGCTGTATCCACAAAAGCTAAATTGCAGGGAGGGAAAAAAACAAAAACCAAAAACAAACAAAAAACAAACAAGCTGGTAACTTTTTTTTTATTTTAATATTTGTCTGAAGTAAATTATCAAATATAACTTGTATTACCAGCGCGGTCAAATGATGGATGACCACAGCTGTAGTAAAATATTTAAGAAAAGAAGTGGTCGTGCAGCATCTCTACCAGAGAGCAATCTAAACAAAGGAAAAAATGAAGTATGGCACATTGCACTGAATTGAAAAACTTCACAGGGAACTTTTTCAACCTGACACTAAAGGACAACTGCCACAAGACACCAATAAACACTCTACGTCACAGAGACTAATGAATCTGGCTTCCGAGAATAGCTATGGGGATTTCAGCCAAATGTTATTTAAGTGTGAAATGAACTTCTATTCTTCTCTTAGCGTAGCTGACAAACACAGAAGGAAAAACAATAATTATTTTTTTTTAATTTTTTTTTCCCCCCTATCTGCCTTGGCCTTTCCAATAGCTGTTCTCCCTTGGGAACAATACAGACTCTCTTCACTTGGCCAACACACTGTCCTCTGAAGTTCACAAGAAGAATGTATTGAGTGGTATGCTGTATCTAAGGTTTGCCTTCCTCTCACATTAGGAAGAATGTCTCTTCTTCTTGTTTGTGTGAATCACTGATGAATATTTTGCTAAGCCTCCCCTAGTCTGGCAATACTCATGATTTACTCAGTTTAACAAGACCCTCATCTTCTCCCCCCCTAAATCCACTTGCCCTCAAAGGGAACTACAGCCAAACATATCTCTGACTGACATGTCAAAAACACGCATCTCTTGAAGAAGACATATCACTGCCAATAAGATAGTATTTGCAACAGAACTCTACAGCTGAGCCATCAACTTCAGCCGAGTTCCACAAGCCCTCTTCAAGAAGAATCAGTGATGAAGACTCAGATCTTCAGATGTCTAAAGCTAAGGAGGTATGCTATCCACCTACATTTTCTAACTTGTAGAAAGTCAGATCTATGTGTTGAGAGGACAAAAAAAAAAAAAATAATGGCTGGACAGCATGTTCTGAAGCCACCTAGTCATAGGAACTATTCAGAATCACTGAAAACAAATCCTACAATCCTTCTGCAGGCTTCCTAAGAAAGCCACCAACTTCTGACATGAATATGACAAGCTCAAAGGTCTCTCATCCCTTCTGCAGTTATTCAATCTCACAATACCAACTCAGACACGTAAAGGTATATGCTGTGCTAATTTCAAGATGTAAAAATGGCAGTTCTATTACATTATCTCTAAAACTTTTTGCTTTCATACCAGTGGGTTTGCAGAGCAAATTTAGTCTCTTAAAAAGCTTATTCCATGATTGAACACAATTTCTAGAACCTACGCACAATTGTAGTGGGAAACACACAATTACGTATACTGGTCAAGATGCAAGGCCATTAGATTGTGCAGCTTAATTCTTTACTTAAAAGTATATATTTGGACATAATTATACAGCAAACTCCAGATGCTCAGCAAGAAAGATCCAGTTCATGCCTAGTTCATATTGGGGCAGCAAAAGAGAATCATGAAATCATAGAATGCTTTAGGTTGGAGTGAGTCCTGCACAACATATTAGCAGGCATTACTCTAGGAACTGCAGAAACATTGAGAACAAAGATCATAATTTGAAGTTTACAGTCAGCTATGCAATTGACCCATCTACATACAGTTATAGGTTTGCAAGCATAGAGTATCAGAAAGGGATTCTCCCCTATGTCGTTCCTCCAGAGCCTCTCTTGCTGAATACAACCAAGTATTTGCTCATCACCAATCCACTTTTGACTATCA